AGTCCTTGGCACCCCCGGGCACCAGCCGACGTGGTGGTACAGGACAGACAGACCGGGGTGCGCAGGAGTGGGGGTCCATGGGGTGGGGGGAGCAGGGACAGACGGACACCGGGGGGGGACAGGACCCACCTTGCACAGTGCCAGGCCCGTGCAGGGGCCGCAGGTAGCAGTGATCAGCGTAGCTGCCCCCCGGGGGGGTGGCAGGGTCGAACATACTGCGTCACGTGTGGGCTGGCTTAGGCGTGCATCCGTGCTGGGGTAGGGGGGAGCCTGTGAGGCAGAGGGCAAGGGGTCAGCACCGCACACACCCCAGTCCCCCCCCTTGTGCAGCACACGCTCTGCCACGCCCCGCGGTCTCCGGTAGAGGGAGCCCTGGCTCCGTTGCCTCTGGAGTAGGGGTCTCTCCTGGGGGGCAAAGCCAGGACCCTCCCACCCTCTGCCAGCCTTCCCCACACTGCTCTGGTGCCTCAGTTTCCCCTTGAGCTCCCCTCTCAGCCACTGGAGCCCCCTCTGCCCCTGCTCCAGCTGTACTGGGGATGGGGGCCTCTCCCCTCCGGGCCAGGCCCTGCGGGGGGTTCTTCCACAGGCCCCAGAGCCCCCTGAAGGGGGCTTAGCCTGTGCTTAGGCCTTGCACACGTGTGCACCACACCTTGTCATCGCATGATAACACCATGCCACCCATTTCACGATAGCACTTGCACACTCACACGGGCACCGCGCCACCCCATTGCATGATCACGCACACACGCATGTGCACACACAGAGACACACATGTGTGCAGAGCACCAGCCTATTGCATGACGACGCGCGCACACACGTGCACACACAGAGACACACATACTGGCACTGCCCCGTCCCATTGCATGATGCTACACACACATGCACACACGTACGTGTGGCGCACCATCCCAATGCACGGCAGTGTGCATGCCTGCACGCACGGGCACACGCACACACGTGTGCACCGCACCGTCCTGGTGCATGCGTGCATACACATACACACACACACACATATGCACGCACATAACACACCATCTCAATGCATGACAAAGAGCACATGCACACAGACACCCCTCGCCATGGTATGTCACAGCCCCCCCCGCAGCTCCCCTCCTGCCCCAGCTGGTCGCCATGGCAACAGGGCCTAGCGAGGGCCCGGGCCCGATCCAGCGGCGCGGTGGGTGTTCTCGCTCCTCTGTTATGACTTGGCCGCCGCCGGGGCAGGCGCTCGCCGCCCGCGCTCGTCTGGCCGTGGCCCAGAGCCCGTTTGCTTTGGGGCCAGGCCAGGCTGGGCGGGAGCGGGGGGCCTCAGGACAGGGCCCCCGGGGCAGGAGGGGCTAGAGCCGCTCAGAGACACCCCCCCAGATCATGGCGGCAGGGGGGTTCAGAGACTCTCCTGGCCAGGCCCTGCAGTACAGGGGCTAGGACACGCGTCCCCCTCCCAAATGAGGCTCCGCCCGGGCCCTCCAGGGTGGGGCTGGCTCCCAGCGCAGCCCGCAGCCGAACTGGGCTGGGCTGGGAGCTCCCCCGGGGTTGGGCTGGGCAGGATGCACCCCACATCTACCCCTGCTCCCTCCGCAGCCCACCAAAATGGGGCAGTCCCCATCCCCCAGAGCCTTTCAAGTGTGTGTGGGGGGCACAGCTGGGACACAGCTGGCAGCCAGCTGGGCAGCTGGGGGTGGGAAGGAGCGTGAGGAGGGGGGGTCACAGCTTGACCCGGCCCCCAGTGCACCCCATTAGCCCCTGCAGGCACTGGGGGGGAGAGGGGCCCCTGGGGGGAGGTGGAGAAGGGCTGGGGGTCCCCAGGAGGACTGGCCCCTGCAAACAGAGGGGAAACTGAGGCACTGAGTGAGCGAGGGAGGACCCAGCCCAGCTGACCCCCCCTGGGCCCAGATAGGATCCAGGTACCCTGAGACCTGGGCACAGAGGCATGTGCATGCACACACACACACACACACGTACACACACACACATCCTCTTGTAGGTCCAGACATGCCAACACACCCGTGTGTGTCCATATAGGCATGTAACAGGGGTGTAGGTTGTAGCCATGTACACACACACACACACACACACACACACACGTTTACTCCTGTGAGCACAGATGCCCTGCATGTGCATGCACCATCACACATCGTTGCACATGTGCACATGCTGGGAGAAACCCCCTCCCCTCATTTTACAAACAGGGAAACTGAGGCACGGGGTGCTGGGTCCCATCAGTAGTGGGGGGATGCAGCTCCCTGTACCTCCTGATCCCCTGGCCCTGGCAGGGCAGGCAGCGCAGCCTGAACATGGAAGGGGGGGGCTGCATGTGGGTGGCAATGGCTGGGGGGGCTGGAGCCCCCCGCCCCGCAGGGAGGGGGAAGGGGCGATTCTTCCGCTTGGTTTCCCCCTTTGAGCGCCCATCGCGGGGCTTTGTCCAGACGTCACCGGGAAAGAAAGGCTGGGAGGGGAGGGCGGGGGCAG